GGGTAGAGGTTTAATAAAAATTATTTTACTGCTTCATCAGGAGCTATTCTGTAACGAAACTGACTTTTTTCTTTTTTACTGCAGGTATGTGAAGAACATGGTGACTTTTAACATAGTTAGGTTTCTTGCAAAGATTCTAGCAGTTTTAGCCACCATTACTTTTGTGCTATTGGTGCATTTATCACCAACTAAAAAAGGCAAATAATGTCTTAGTAATTTTGACTGTAAAGAGCCATCAGGGTCATGGGTCACTATTTGAGAATGGCTACATTGAAGTATTTATGGGTGATGGAATCTGAAGCAACTGAATGAAACATGGCTCAGGAAAAAAGTTCCTTGTACAGTATTTGCAACTTTGATTGAGATTATTTCAAAATTAAAAATATATATAAATAAATGGTAGCCTTTCAAATGATGAAAACTGAAATTTGTGATAATAGTCATTTGTAAGTTTCAGCAAGATACCAGTAAATTCTTCTGCAGATTAAAAGATATATGTCATTTAGTAAACTTTTTGGCATCTAGTTGATTCTTAGCAAATGATAACTTATGAATTATTACTGTAATAACTGTTATCAGGTATTACTCCTGTTTAGTTGGTAGACTATTAATTGCAGCCCTAAGCATTTTACATGGTATCTTTGCGTTCTTTAGGACATCCTAGAGTCTAGATGATTGTTGTCAGATCTGTATTCTTAGTTCCAATAATATAGGAGGAGATTCTAAATCAGCACTTTTGCTTTTACTTTGGTTTAATATGTAAAAACTGTACTCCTTCTACTTTAAATGAAAAGTGCTGTTTTGTGTTAAATAGAAAAATGGTTCTACTCTTGGCAAAATGTTGAACTATATTGATCTTCAGAGTATTAATTGCCATAAAGTAGTTATTTCAATAGCTGATATTTTAAATTCTATGGTAATTTTTTCAAAAGTTCCTGGATTGGTTTTGTTTTGACTTTAAAGAAATAAAAGCAACTAACTGTTAAGCTTCCTTTTTCTAAATACCAATGTGAGAGACCTAGATCTTGAAAAGAATACTTTTTCCTGTGGTGAGATTTCACAGAACCAGAATGGAATCTTGTAAGAACAAAGTGACAGGTTGAAATAAAAAGAGGTCACTTAAAAACAAAAACAGCACAATCAGCATTTTTAGACGAAAGGTACTGTGTGATATTTGACCTCTAATTAATTCTAACTATCTTTTTATTTGAAAAAAGAGAGAAATGTTATGGAGGGTTACAAAAATATCCCTTTTGCTTTCGAACTTGATTTTTAGTTCATGTATCCTGCATGGGAAATTGGTCAACTCTGGTCCAGATCTTAACTGGTAGTACTCACTACCTTCTGTGTTCATGAGGTCCACGTGGTAGATTCAACCAACCCCAGGATCACGTGTTATGTTTACAATCCTGGGTTGGTAGCATTAGTGGATATGGTAGGCCGAATATGGGACTTGAGCCTCTGTGGATTTTTATATTCACAGGGCGTCCTAGAAACAAAATACATCGATACCAAGAGACGAGTTTAATTTCATTTCTCAAGCCAACAAAGAGAGGTACCTCAAGAAAAAAAGTTGCTTTTCAAAAGAAAAAAAGTATTTTATGTTATTTAAAAAAAAATGCTGACGCATATTTGGAGGAATTGTTATATATCTTTATCCCACAGCACTTAGGGTATTTATTTTAACTTATCACAGCTTCTACCTTGGAAGAAAGACAACAGAGGCGGTCATGTCATGGACTGTTGTGGTGGACAAGGATAAGGGTCCTCAGAAGTATGTGTCCAGAGCTTTGGTGAAGTTCTTACTCTTCTCTAGTGGTGGGCTGTTGCTGGGTTGTAGACTGGTGGTCACATGAAGAGCCTCAGGTAGGAGACGAAGTGAATGCGGAAGTGAAGATTATATTGGGATGACCAAAAGGTTTGCTCAAACCTGAATATAACGGTCCCCAGTTATGTTCCAGGCTCTTGTTGCATCCTTGTGCTCATGTTTAAAATGGAGGGTTCTTGTTCATCTGTGTTGGCTTCTGTTGGCAGGGCCAGATGAGAGTTGATAGGCTGTGGGAAGCGGGGAAGGGGGAGATGCCTAGATTTATTTCCATAGTTCCTAAGGAAGCCAGCTGTCTCCCACCCCAGCCTTTTAGAACATCTGTCATTATTCTCTTCTAATGGCCTTGGCCCAGAGAGCGGCGTCTCCTGTCCTGTTTTTACGTCCGTGCTACGATTTTTGACTCACACAGCTTGGTGGTGGTGGCTTCGGGGGGAGTTCATGCAGTCCTCAAAGCTGGTCCACGGCCCTGGTCAGGAGCATGCATAGCCCATAACCCTGGGAAAGGAAATGTGAGAGCAGACTCCTGGATTCTTCTGGGGGGGTTTTCCTCACTGTAAAAGGGGCCTATAACAGGATGTCCCACTGCTGCTTCTGAATGTTACCTGCATGGGTGCTTGGGATGGCAGTGGCCCTCTTGAAACCAAGAGAAGAGCCAGTCTAGAGAAATAAGAGAAGGTGGAAGGACCCTGGAACCTTTGTGACATTGTTGAGCAACTGAACAAAACAGATCCAAGTCCTTGTTCTCACAAGCTTAATTCTGGTGGGAGCGGACGACAATAGACATGTACATTAACAAAGTACATAGTGGATTAGAGAGGGGTAAGCACAGTGGGATGGACAAAAGCAGAGAAGCGCAGATGGAGTACAGAAGAGGAGTAGCTGCCTTTTTTAAAGGCCAGTCAAGGAAGACTTCTCTGGCCCAGCAGAGACACGGGATCTGGAAGAGCTTTCCAGACAGAGGGCATAGGAAGCGCAAAAGCTGTGAGTGTATTTGGGAAAGATTCTGTGTCTACAGAACTGCCCGGACCCCTGTGAACAAGGCTGGGGAATGACCGGAGAGTAGGTGGGTCAACATGAGTTTGGTATCAGGCTGTTGCTGAAGACTTTGTTTCTTACTGTATGTGAGATGACACCCTTTGGGAGGTTTGCAAGGAAGAAAGTGACAGGATCTGACCTACGTTTTTAAAAAAAGAAAAGCCCACAATAGGGGCAGCAAAGAAAAGAGAAAGAAAACAGTGTTAACTGGACTAGAGCAGGATTCAGAGAAATAATTTTTATAGATCTGGAAAAACTTGCATCAAAAGCCATTTTATGGATCCTAATGTGGCGACATAAGAAAACTTACTTATGCCGTAGGTATATAAGGTTGTGCCATGGAAGTACATTCACCAAATCGTCTGAGATCTAAAAGTAAATTTGATTCAGTGGCTGTTAGGTGGATTTTATTACTAGAGAGAAATTTTCCTAAATGTCAGTGTATAGTGCTAGTGTGGAAACAGACTTTGCTTTTCTTAAATAAATAGATAAATTTTATCTTATTTTACCTCTGGAATAAAGTTTTACTTTCAGTAAAAGATTTCCTTCAGCCTTTTGATTTTGGTCTTTTTTCTTGTGAATTGGTGGCTCTAATAAAGGCAAAGTTCTTTACTTATTTGTGGTAAATTCTGTGAACCATTTGTGATAAGACATGTTGGACCAGCTATGGGGAAATTACAGCCCTATAACTGACTGTCCATTACATGAACACATATCATAACTCATTTATATTCGAATTGTTGGTGTTCCTTTAACATTAGATAAGGTGTTTTCCAGGTCAGTTATTATCCTCTCTAGTTTATTCATGGATTCCTATCTAGGGTCGATAACTTTTCATTGAGTCTAACTAAGAATAAATCTGTCGTGAACCAGCTGTTTTAGTTTCAGACATAAATCCTTTTAGGTCAAGAACAGAAATCTCTGAGGATTAATGCTGTATATTCTGTGATGAGCTGGCATTGACTTCAAAAGAAGAACATTTTATTTTTGGAAGTAGGGTTTTTAAATTAATTCTTTTGAATTCTCATCCAGTTCCAAAGAATAAATATTCTCCGAGACTTTATGGACTGCCTCCTGTATGCCAGTACATAGTAGTGTTGATAGTACTAAAGGTAATATTTTTATACCTTTGTGTTGATAGTACTAATGAGTATTAGTACCTTCATTTTCACAGGAGGATGCAGAGCCCCATAGAGGGTATGTGACTTGCTCAAAGCCATTTAGCAAATAAGTGTGGAAGTGAAATTGGTACCCATGTCTCGGTAACCTCACAGTTGATGCTGTGTTCTCAGAGCAGCTCACTAGTGAAGGCAGAAATCAACATGACATGTTCCTCCTCATGAGTATGCTTTCTCCAGTGTCTCACTTCTCAGCTTGTTATTTCCCTTAATGGCACCCCACTCCAGTACTCTTGCCTGGAAAATTCCATGGACTGAGGAGCCTGATAGGCTGCAGTCCATGGGGTTGCAGAGAGTCGGACACGACTGAACGACTTCACTTTCTTTCTTTCTTCTTTCTTTAGCTCTGCTTGGACCTTAATAGTCCTGTGCAAAGTGGAACACAGGCCTTTCTTGTGTCACTTCGTGGCTCCATTACTGTGCATTTTTTATGTGGGCTTTTTAAATGTAGCGACTATTTACTATTAACCAAGTTTCCAAATTCTAATATCATATTCTTTTTATTTCCAGATTAATAATATGGATTTTTTGTTTTAATAGATCACACTTTACAATATTTTGTGACATAGAGACTTCTTCCAGAAAGAAAGAAGTTATCAGTTTGCAATTAAAATCACAAAGCTAGAGATATTTAAAGAGTGTATAGCATGATGATATGAACCATGTTTTATAGTTTGTACCTAAGGGTCTAAAAAGTCATCATTATTGATTTATAGGAGAACTGATTAAGGAACATTCAGGAAACTCTGTGATAATACTGGAATTCTTACTTCAGAACTATTGTGCTGACTCTATAGCATCTCTTAGATGGTCTCATGATTGCTTAAAATTATCCTGGTCTAAATTTCATCTCAAATTGGGGCAGGGAAAGTGTTTGAAAGAGTAATGCCATCAAATGCTTGAATCTTATTTGCCATATATTAATTATCCTCTCTCCATTTGTGTTTTTTTTTCCCTAGGAGAAAAATTCAAAGTGGAAACAAAGACCATTGCTGTTGACTTTACATTAGAAGATATTTATGACAAAATTAAAACAAGCTTGGCAGGTCTTGAGATTGGTGTTTTAGGTTTGTATCTTTATTACATTTATAGATTCTTCTTGCATCTATTGATTAGGACTGTTTTCATTTTGAATGTTAGGTGTTCAACTGGTGGCCTAACTAGTGAAAAGAAAATTGTCTTGTTAATACAAATGATCATTAGATGATATTAATTTATATATGCGTGAATCTTTACATTTTGTGTTGTATTTTAATGACGACTACAATTTAGGTTGTTTTCTCGACCTGCTTTATTTCCAGTCTTTCATTCTCTTGGTATGTATTTAAATATAGCTATATTGTTATAATCTTTTACATCAGGTGATGCTGACCCATTTTTAAGTTCAGGAAATAAAGGCTTAGAGGGGTATTTCTTAGCCTTTGTTCAGTATTACCTTTTCCCCAACAAGGAGTCTTTTTAGACATTATTTTCCACTAATCTTCCCTCCCATGAAATTTTAATACTACAGATACACTGTGTATCTTGTTTATGTTCTATACCTGTGCTTTATATACAGAAAGGTTAAGAGCTCACACCACATGCCCAAAACAATTTTTGCCCACTGAGGGGAGCTATCACCCCAGTTGAGAAGATGTGACTCAGATGAGTGACTTGCCTGAGGTCACACAGAGGTTGAGAACTGCACCTGGGTTTTAGCCACCACCGTAAATCCCCTACCTAAAAACGAGTTCCATTCTGAGAGTGTGTTCATAAGTCCAGTTAGTAAGTTAGCCAAAGTTATCCTAGGTCCCAGCTAACACAGCTGGCTATATAATACTGTACTGTAATGGGTGTATAATATTTTTCACACAAATAACACATAAAAAACAAGCAGAAAAAACAAAAGAACATGTTTTTAATCTTACACAGTGCATACAGTACCTTGAAAAGTCCTATTGAGTACTGTTGTACTTTTGTACTTTTCACTAGTGTACTAAAAGTACTACCGTACTTTTCAGTAGTGGTGTACCAGTCATATCACTGCTGCTTTAAGCTTGCTTTGGATGTCCTGGGCTTAAAATAAAGATACTGCACAACTACACTTGATACAGTTGTTGTTGTTGTTCAGCCGCCCAGTTGTATCTGACTCTGCAACCCCGTGGACTGCAGCATGCCAGGCTTCTCTGTCCTTCACTATCTCCTGGAGTCTGCTCAGACTCACGTCCATTGAGTCGATGATGCCATCCAACCTCTGTACAGTACTGTACAGTCAGGTACACAAAAGCACCGACGCTTGTAGACGATGCGTGCATATGACAGTGTACGCCACACACGTGCACTGACTTACGTGATTGGACATGTGGATGCATGTTCACATCTTTGAAAGTTTGCAACTTGAAGGTTCACGTGTAGCGGACTTACTGTATTTGTTTTTTTCCAAGTCTATTACTCCTTATGTTACACCTCAGCTACCTTACTCTTATTACCAAAAATCGATGCTTTTGCTGAGATATAGGAACTATTAGACCTTGTTACGGAAGAGATTCACCAGATTTTAAGGAGAAAAAAACTACAGGCTTCAAAAAGTTACCCGCCATTCTCTGACTCATTTCTAGAAAGAAAAAGGGCATCTAGTTCAGAAAAACATCACTTCTTCACTAAATCTCTTTATCCCTCTGCCTACATTGGTGTGAATCTGGCACTTGCCATTGTTTTCTGTATTGGAGTATAACAGAAGGAATGACAGAGAAAATACTTTTAAAAAATGTTTCCTAATTTTTCTTTAGTCAAGACCCCACCTGTCTTCCTCATACTATAAAAGAATGACCTCTCATATAATTTATTGGTAAGGCAATTAAAAAGTACTATACACGTATCGCCCTCCATGGTGCCCTTGGGCCTGGGGTTAACCCTGGCTTTACTATGCTATCTTCTCGGCCCCTGCCTGGCCCGTGTCACCATCACCATGCCCCACTTACCCTCAATGCTACTCTCACACTTATAGGAGAGCAAAAGATGAGTGAACACACTGTTCTAGTATTTGCCTTGTTCTTCTCTAATGCATACACTGCCTGGAGTCTTTCACAAGCTCTTCTTCCTTTAGCTAAGCGTAAATCACGACTAACATTGTTAAAACTGGACTTTTTTCTAAACTTCCAAGTGAGTAGCAGCTATAGCTTACTAGTTAGGATAGACACTGCCAAAATCTCTCCGAAACCCTTTCCAGCTAGTCATGGATTAGAGAGTGAAGACTGACTTAGGCCAGGAGGTGCATTGAGGACCCCTAATGAGAGGAGACTTATTTTGAACTTGTGTTCTTGGAGAATGGCTTTCTTTCAGGGGTAGTTCAGTTAATCACAGTGGTTCTTAGCTTTGTAAGATTTCAGCTGCTTTTCACCAGGTGACTTTAGAATTGTAACTCTTCTGGGCCGTGCCACTGAAGATGGAAGATGTCAGGCGTCAGTCAGGCTGCTGAAGGGCTTGTTGCTGCTGCGCAGTCTCAGTCCTGTCCAACTCTTTGCGACCCATGGACCGCAGCCCGCCAGGCTTCCCTGCCTTTCACTGTCTCCCAGAGTTTGCTCAAACTCATGTCCACTGAGTTGGCGATGCCATCCAACCATCTCTTCCACTGTCACCCCTTCTCCTCCCATCCTCAACCTTTCCCAGCATCAGGGTCTTTTCCCAATGAGTCAGCCCTTCGCATCAGGTGGCCAGAGTATTGGAGCTTTGGCTTCAGCATCAGTCCTTCCAGTGAACATTCAGGGTTGATTTCCTTTAGGGTTGGAGTGTTATAAAAGGCATTCTTCAGCTGTTCTTTCCTGACCCAGTATATAGAAAGTCTACAGCGTGAGTTTAGGCACAGTAGGTAGATCTATGAAGGATGAGGTACAGGGTGCCCACTTCCAGAATCCTAGGACTTGTGTTAGTACATAAGCATTAATATTGAGACCTAAGAATTGATATTTTCCTGGGCCACATATGCTAATGGAACCGCTGCTTTTGTAGTCCAGCCCCTTAGTAAATTGCAGCCTGCGAGTCTGCAGTTTCCACCCTTCTTTAGTCATTCACCAGTCAGTCAACTGGAGATACAGCAATGAACAAGAAAGCACCTAGCTTTATGTAGTATAATGTTCTGAATGGAAAGACAACCCTGACCAAAAATTGTTATCAATGGGATAAGTGTTGAGATGGGGAGGGGCAGGGTGTAATAAAGAGGGTAAAAGGAATGGCAGAGTTGATACGGGAAAAAATAGTGGTGACGTGGCCTAGCCAGTAGGGTAGGGAAAAGGGTGATTCCAGAAATATGGACGGAGTAGAGGAAGCAGGACTCTACACGTGAGAGACGCAGGAGAACTCTTGATGACCTTCAGGTTTCTGGCTTGAACATCTGTGTCAATAATACCATCTAATAAAATGGGGAATCCTAGAAAAGGAATCTTTTTGGGAACGAGGATCGTTTAAGTTTGGGGTTCCTCTAGGATGCCCAAATGGGTTTTTTTTTAATTAATTTTTATTTGAGTATAGTTGCTTTATAATACTGTGTTAGTTTCTCTTGTACAGCAAAGCGAATCAGCTATACGTATACACGTATCTCCTCTTTTTTGGATTTCCTTCCCGTTTAGGTCAGCACAGCACGGAATAGAGTTCCCTGTGGTATACAGTAGGTTCTCGTTAGTTATCTATTTTATATATAGTAGTGTATATGTGGACTTTTCTGATGGCTCAATGGTAAAAAAAATACACCTGCCAATGCAGGAGATTGCCTGCCACTGCCAACTCAGGGCTCAATCCCTGGGTCAGGAAGATCCCCTGCAGGAGGAAATGGCAACCCACTCCAGTATTCTTGCCTGGGAAATCCCATGGACAGAGGAGCCTGGTGGGCTACAGTCCATGGGTTGCAAAAGAGTCAGATACAACTTAGCGACAAAACCACCACAACAGAAGTGTATTTATGTCGATCCCAATTCATCCCCTCCCCACCAGGTGGGGTTGTCAAGCTGGACTTATGGGTCTAGTTTACAGTAGAGCTCTGAACTAGAGAGAGAGCTTAGAGGTCAGTCATCTCTGAGTAGTCGTCTCATTGGAGAAAGGAGACTGGAGCTAATCCAAGGAGAATGGAGAGAAAGTAAAGAGGAAAACTGGGACAGAGCTCTGTGTCATCAAGGGCTGCCTGGAACTAGTGTGGAAGAGGGGTAGTTTTTTGCACAAGTTCAGCACTGTCCACTGGAAATATAATGCAAACCTCATATGTGATTTTAACCTGTCTTGTAGCCACATTTTTAATAAGTGAAAAAAACTAATTTTAGTAATGTATTTTATTTTAACCCGCTATATCCAAAGTTTTATCATTTTAACCAAGTAATCAATGTAACATTTTTGGAAACATTTTATGTTCTTTTTCTCATACCAAGTCTTCAAGTCATATGTTTGACATTTATAACATTATCTCAGTTCAGACTAGCTACCTTGTAAATGTTCGGTAGCCATCCATACCAAGTGAAAGTGTTACTTGCTCAGTCGTGTCTGACTCTTTGCGACCCCGTGGACTCTAGCCCGCCAGGCTTCTCTATCCATGGAGTTCTCCAGGCGAGACTACTGGAGTGGGTAGCCATTCCCTCCTCTCCAGGGGATCTTCCTGATCCAGGGATCGAACTGGTCTCCTGCATTGCACGGAGATTCTTTACCATCTGAGCCATACACATGCCTAGTGATAGACATCTATCTCCAGTTCATTTTGGCTGTCTTTCATCCTCAGTTTGTGTGGGAGAGCCATAAATATAACTACGAGGTTTTTCTTACGCTTTGACATGGCTTTTAACCTGGGCAATTTTGCAGTGTCTGGCAATATCCAGACATATTTCTGGTTGTCACTAATTGAGGAGAGAGGAGGAAGCTCTGTTGGCCCCTGTGAAGGGCGGGAGGGAATGCTGGTAAACATGCTCAAATGCTCGGATAGATTCCCTCCACAAAGAATGATCAGGCTGAAATGTCAGCAGTGCTGAGATTGAGGTTAAAATCTTAACAGTGTGGCTTTGAAGTTATACTGTAATTAAACAGTTTGATCGACTACTTACTGAGGCCCCCC